CGATGCCATGGTGCCATACTATCCCAACTTGGACGACGACATCTCAGACCGACCAGAACTAGCCATTATTCTATGATTGCTTTTTACGACTGCTCTCTGCTACGATAAGTGGCCACCGTGGTGAGATTAGGGGAGGGGCTCTTCTCCCGTATACTGAACGAAGGAGTGGGATAGGGGATACTCTGAATTTTTCTGCTTGAATTCTAATAATGTGTAAGGGTGGAATTACAGTGGCATGCGTTGGGCGTTTATTCTGTTAGATTTTTCTAGGTACCAAAAAGAAAATGTGTTTTTTCCCCCCATCCGCCCTTTTTGGAGTAACTGAATATGCCAGCTGTTAGCACGGCAACGGTGATTGTGTATCTTGTTTGTTGATGACGGCGGTCGAACCATTTCTGGGTGAATCTCCTCTTTCGAACTATACGAGAGGTATTCACCACGGCCAATGACGTCCTTGTTTTCACTGGTATGTATGATGACGCCGTGAGCAAGGGCTCAAGACATGTGAAAAGCTCCCTTGAGTTGCTCGTTTCACAAAGAGACACTTTCAGCTTCTGAGAAAGGGAAGGCTTCTTGTCTTTACCGGAATGGAGGATACCAGAGCCTGCGTCATTGTCTCGCCTTGAACTTGTTTCGTCTCATCGCCTTGCATCGCATTGGATGCGTGTGAATCGTTTATTGTAGTTTTTGCTTTTTGCGCTACTCTTATCTGGACATTCCAATGGGTGAAGAAACCCTGAGTTGATGAAGTACAAGTACACGATCATATGTTGATGGATTCATCTGCGTATATACAGCCTAGAGCCTGAATCATGCGGCAAACTCAACGACATGGACGCTTTGAAAGAGTAAAGAGAGGTAAAAAGAAGAGGTGTAGCAACAAAAAGGAAAATGCTACAGAAACAACCAAAAATGAAGCTGCCCACTATCAGAGTCGAACTGATCACCTTGTCATGTCAAGTGAAATTACTAGTGACACGCTATACCGCTTAGCCAAGCGGGCCGAGAGCTCGTGAGTTGATGCTCGGGCTGGCATAACCGAGTCATAAAACTGGCCGATTTCATCTCGTTTCATCTCGTCTCGTTCTCATTTACAGCAAAATGTGTAAAAACTACAAAAGCAAAGGCCAAGAGAAATGAGAATGGGATTGACGTCACTGGATGCCAATGCCTTTGTGACTTTTTGACTGTTGTCCTTTTGAAATCTCGCCTGCCTAATCTGATTTGCATCTGCTCACGCTCAATGTCTCACTTTGGGCGTGAGCAATTCTCTCCAGCCCCCTGCAATGTCTCAGTCGCCGAGAGAGAAATCAAGAACATGGAAGAGATGATTGGTGCTACTACGAGATGTATGGTCACTACGGCATAGTACTTGCATGCGCCACCAGCACGAATTACACATCATGGTAAGCAAAGGTCAGAAAAGAGAGAAAGAAAAAGAAAAAAAAATGAGAGACAAGAAACCAAGTCAAGACGAGACATGCATGCATACGAGCACACAATGTCGCACAATGAAACGACGCTAAGAGACGCAGCCAAAAAATCTCTTCTCTCAATGCTGCGTACTCCGTACATACTGTAGTACTCCGTAATGTGCTGTAAAGTAGATGAAATGGCCTCCATCTTCATCGTTCTCCCCTCTTTGCCAGCGTGCATATGCCGCATGCATGCAGCAAAATGGTGATTCAAAGCCCCGTCGTGCAGTAGCGCCGCAGGAAGCAGATACTTGGAGTAAGCAGTGCGTGCAGCTACTAATGCAGGCCGTAAATAAGTTTGCACAAAACGGAAAAAGAAAAGAAAGAAAGGGCAAAGGATAGATTTCGTGTTTGCCGAAGTCGATTCCTTTGGTTGGCTGTGGAGGGATGGATGGGATGGGATGGATGTTGGGGGAACAGAACAGGACCGGGCTAAAATAAACCGCGAGCTTAACGAGCACAAAAGAGAGAGAAGTGCCGGGAATAAAGGGAAAAAGGCGGTCGGGATGTTGAATATTCGGGTGTGTCCCAGACAAGAGAAGCCATCCGAATTCACCAATAGCAATGGCTGGTATGAAAGCGCAGACATTGTTGCTGTGGTTGTATGTAGCAGGCAGTTGGTAGCGGCAGAAGAAATCAAATGCAAATACTTTTTGCAGTAGCATCGGGATGGGGGCAACGGCAC